ACAGAAATAAGACCAGGATGTATTAGTAAGCGAGTAAGCTTCCAAGCGTGTTATCTACTACTTTACTGTGAGGGATTGGTGGAGCCAAAGCATGGCTAAGTGGCTCCTTTTGACCTGAGAGCTGATCTCCAAACTGGATTCGCTTGAAGAGGCATAGCAAAAATACAGCCTAATCTTACAACCTTACAAGGATGGTACAGTGAAATTCTACTCCAGTGCAACTACAGAACTTAATTTCATTTTCATCATTTAAATATTCTAGAATTAGAAGGCTCATTTAATAAGGCAAAAGTGTAAAGAAAATAGCACTTTTGAGTACTTGATACACATTTAATACTATAGAACCTGTGCTTCCCTAGTGCCAGACTACTTTTGACTGACCAATTGACCAAATGACGTCCAGCTCCAAGAAACTTATCCTTTTTCATTCACCTGGCTTTCTGAATGGTGCACAGAACAAGGCTTAAATGCACAGATTAACTAGTTCATATATGAGCTAATTTATTCATAAATCCGTTCCATCTCTGCTTTTATGTTCACTGCAGTTGGCAGAAGCGTGTGTGGTGTGTTCACATATCTGCATTTGTCTCCAGAACTAGAAACTGCTTTTTCACATGTCTTACATATTTGGTAATTCGTAATTTACTTGGGAGTAAAAGGTATATTATGTCTACAAAAGTATTTGTTGAGAGTACATTTTAAAATGGCTGTAGTGTAATTGAATGATTTACATCGACATTTCTTAATCAATACTAAAATCTAATCACTGTAGAAAGGAGCCTGCGAAAACAAACGCATACATTATAATCAAATCAAATCAAGCACTAAAAAGCACAAATATGGTTCACACCACGTCCGTGTACTGTAGCTTTAAATGGCATGTTTTCCCCATCACTGGCACATTAGCCTTGAAGACCACACTACTCTGCTATTGCCGATACATAAAAAGTTGAAAAATGATCTCGCATGACTAGAGAAGCTTGTCCTTGTGACCTATAATAGATGTGCTTATTCTGGTTATCACTGGCTATCTGTAAACGAGATGGCTGAATCATTAGCTTACACTGCGAGCGCAGCAGAGTGTGACTAGGGAATAATTGATTTGTGCAGAAAGAGCTGGTTGGAGGAGAAAAAGGCTGCATTGTGGGCCATTGCGCCATATTGAGTCTTAATATGCATGTCATGGATTACTATAGTGCAGACTTATTGTTTTGTATTACAAACTGAGTCATTCTCTTTTGTGTTTAAGGGGCTGGTTTGCTACACAGCCTCATATCATTATTGGCCAGTGTTTCCCCTTAAGTCCTGACCTTGAATTCAATTTAAATCAGATTCCACTAAAATCCACTAAATCAGTGTTGTTGTAACTTTTCCCAGGAATTATCCATTACAACATGTTTTACATATTTTCACTATTTGTCCTTCCAAGCAACAACAAATGACACTTCTGGGTGAAAGTTGGGGCTAAACCATATGTTTAAAAGCTTTTTAGCTGTCATTTGTTTCCCCACCTACGTATCCTATCATCAATTTCAAAACTGTGATATATTGCCCACCTTCTATAAAGAGGAAAAGGATCTGGAATAAAAGGGTATAAGATAGACTGGTGAGAATCGGTGGACCACAAGTATAAAATATAATCTTCTATATTTTTAATTCATCTTCCAAGCTTTTGTTTGCCTTGACCAAAGCAACAACCTGAGTGTGCGGTTCCCCTCTGTGGCCATCGGGTGGCAGTGTATGGAGGTTCTATTGTATGTCTGTCTATCTGAGACATTAACCACACAGGAATCACACACCCCGACGGCCACTTTCCCCTGTGCGCTTGTGTTTTGTTCCTGTGCTCTCCTTGACTTCACAGGCCTGTGCTCACCTCCGCTCTGAGCTCAGCCCTCATTCTTCAAACCGGCTCCTCTACCCGCCGTCAAACACATGTACTGTTTGTTTATCTTGCACTGCCTTTGCTCACAAAAGGATTTGGCTGAAATGTAAACTTCCTCTTTGCTAACAGCCTCTCTCCCCCTCTCTCCGTGCGCTCTCATTCCTTACACTCTCTGCCACTACGAGACACTGAACTGCTTTTGTATTCAGATCAATGGGGTCTTGTTTTGCCTCGAGAATCAGACAGACAGCAGACAGACCATGTGAGAGCTGCAAGAATGTCAGAAGCTTTGTAAAGGTATAACTTGGACATGTACAACTTTTGTTGTGCTACTGTACAACTATTACTACTAAAAGGATTCAATGGCCAGGCTAAAAAAATGCAATCTGTTAAGTCCTATAATTAGGGCTGTTGTATTCAGTTGTCTAGCTGTCGACCTAGCTGAAGATATTGGTGTTTGTCTTATTATTGAGTCATATCACCAGTTTTTTTTTTTTATTAATAGCTAAATATTTGAGTGATACTTTTACAATGAAGTTTAGGTCTGGTGAGTACACTTTAGATTTAAAAGCTCTAAAAACTATTACTTAAATATTACTTAACCATCAACAGGAAATGTCTGTAGTCGCCCCAGATTTATTTTGCTGATTGACCAGAGTGGTTTTTTGTACCTGAATGTTTCATTTGTTGGCGCGCTGTTGTCCTCAGAGTGGTCGACTACACCCCTCCTCAAAATCAATGTTCTATTATCATAATCTGGGTTTTAATTATCGGCTCTTTTGATCGTCAAACCAAAATATAAAAATATATGTTCTCACTCTTAAAATAGAGGATTAGGCCCATTAGATTAGCAGTATAAAGGAACATAATATATACTGTTTCATAATGACAATTGTTTTATAAGCGGCACTAATTCAAACCTAAAATGTCTGCCTAATTTTGGAGGCCTCGGTCTTATCTATCAATGTTGTCAAAATTAGCATTTCCGTCTTATTATCTGACAAGAACATCTGCCTAAACACTTTCTCTCATTCTGCAATTTCGTTTCAAACAGGAGAAATTGCTGTATCCTTCCTCTGTTGTCAGGTGGCTCACTCCCTCCACCAGGAATACCCAGCATTAATTTTTCTTGAAACAAAATAGTTTTACCAAATGACTTCCACTGCTAATGTTGCTGCTCAGAGCAACTTTCGACTCTCTGGAGTAGATTGCGTTGTTTGGCAAAAACATTAAACATATGAAGCCTAACAAGTGTAGTCTTCTTGGTTTTCAGTGTGTTGTGAGGGCTGCCCAACGCCACTGGGAATAGCTATGTAAACAAGATCGTTGCATGCGGGACTAGACCTTACACCCATCGCCTTTAAGTGAAACACTATTCTGGCTTTCCATCAGCATTTTTACAACTTGGTTAATGATAGCAAATAAAGACTTTAGCAAGCTAAGTGCTTAATTACCGGCTGTCTGTCTGGATTCTCTCCAAAGGGCACAGTGTCTTTACTTTGTGTCACCTCAATGAAGCTAAAATGTCAAACCTCTTTCTTTGTTGCTGTTGTTTTCCTTCAAGCGTTTCATTTTGAGCTCAACCTTGAAGCCATGTCTTCAGCCTGTAGTTAACTACATTTAGTCATGTCATTTCCTTCAGATTGGAGGGGATTGTTATTTTGCTTCCCCTCTCTTTTCTCAGCCCCCTTGAGGCAGCAACTCTGTAGTTTTAATTAGTCATGTTTCAAGAAGCCATTTTCTCTTCGGATTTGCCTCTAAATTGTAAAGCACTTTCTTAAAGGATCTTAAAAGGGGCAATGAGTGCTTTTAAGTCTGTTTTTTCTTTTTGCCTGCCAATCCAAAAGGAAGGAGCTATCAGGAGCCGTAACTTGAGGCAGTAGCAGTCGCACACAGCCTTTGTTCTTTGTGGATAGAATACGTGTGTCAGGAGAGAGTCACTGCCTTTTAAGTGCCATCTGGAAAAGTATTGCTGTTGTATTAATACATCAGAAAAATGGCCATTATACACGTCTATGAAAAGTAAAACGCTTTCATTGTTTCGTCTTAAAACATTTATGTTGCATTAGGTTAGCAACGGCCAGTGTTTTCATGTTTTAGTTTGGTGTTACATTGGAGTTTACGTTTTCTTTTCAATTTGGTTCCTAAAGATGGTACTTGGAAGGCAAAATATTTCTGAAGTGGAAAGTCTGGCCGTTTGAGGGCATTAGCTTGTTACACAGCTGAGGTTTAGTCAAGCTTGTGAAGTGCACCCCCACCCTCGCCGCGACCTAACCCAGCGATTGGTTTACAAGGCTTCTTTTCTCTCTCCCAATCCACCCCTGTGTGTTCATCCCTAGTGAATATATAAAATGAACTTACTAGATATGAGTGCTTAAGAGGCCAGTGCCTGAGCCTTGGCAAGTGTCTCTCTGCCTCTGGCTCAGTCATCCATGTCACTTTTCTGTTGTTTCAGCTACTACTGGCTCACTTATTTGTATTGCCGAGCACTTTCTCTCCTCTGTGCTGCCGTGTGTACTGCTGCCTCCTGAATGGCTTGTTTTTGTGCACTGTGGAGAAATTGAGGCGAAAGCAAACAGTCTGTGTCAGCCCCGGCTTTTGTTAAGTATTTATTTTTAATGAGCGTAAGTGGCTACAGAATCCTATAAACCATAAATGGAGTAGTCAGGCAGAGCGTGAGGAGGCGGGGGCTGGCTGGCCTCAGGTTCAGAAACGGTCTCTTATGTTTAGTAACACTTGTTCAAATTATGTTTGATGTCAACGAAGGATACATATTTTAACATACACGTGTGCGTTGTGTTAGAGTGCTCACACCGCCTCCAACAAATTTCCCATAATCTTAAGACATATTTTTTTGTTATGTCGGGATTTCTGTTGAGAGAAGAGTGCTGCTAAGGGAAAAGGCATTGTGATGGCTGGTTTGAAAGGCGAACAAAATCGAATAGACACAGTCAGCTTCCCAGATACATGCTTAGGCCTGTAGAATGTGGAGTGCTTTGCTTGTAACTGCACCGCTTGTCTCCTTTCATTATGGGTTAATGGTGGCCAACTTGACAGAGCCATGTGATAAACAGAGGAGCTGTGAAATCCTGGAGGTGGAGTTCTCGTCTGCCTGATAATGGGATCTCATCTGCCACAGAGAGGGGAGCTGCCTGCCTGCCTGCCCCAGCCGTGCAGCCAATCCAGCTCTGCCTCAGTGCCCTAAAGCACAGAGAACCCACCGCACTCAGAACTGTCGAGGGCAACTTAAGCCTCACACGCTCTCTTTGTTGTGGGAGATTTTCAGATGATAGAATAGAAAATGAAAGAACTCTCTTTGTTGTGTCTATTTGCCAAGACAAAACACTTTAACCACAATTTATGGATTTTTTGTGTGGACTAATTTCTCTTTAAAGTGTTCCAATGTTATTATATTAAACATATTTTTTTCATCTATTCACCAGTCACCTCAAAATACCTCCCTTTCCCCGCATGCCGTGATTTGCATATTTATTTAATATCCTTGCTGCATGACCTTCCATATGTTCTCTATTCATTTGTGCTTGAGATTGGGACAAATAATAGTTTTTGGCGGCTGTAGTGGAAACAGTGGTGATAAAATGTTAAATTAAGTTGATGAATAAAACAGTAGCTTATGCCTTTGCCCCTTTTTCTTTGAGGCTAGCATATAGCCAGTTTATATGCTTTTCAAACGTACCACACCATCCTTTAAGTAGCAGTGGGGAAACTGGCTTTAATTCCACTGTAGCCATAAAGATCCCTGTCAGATTACTGGGAGAGCCTTGTTGTGTGTAAATAGCTGTTTGAGATAAATGGGTTTCTACTACTGCTTGTCATTAGAGCGTGGGTTAACGGCAAACCTCACTGCTAAATGCACGGACACATGATTCCTTCTTCAGCTTGTGTTTGAGTTGCTGACGGCAGGCGACAGACTGGAGCATGTGTGTAAATATCATAAAGATTGACCTTGTGAAATGTATACACAGTGCAATAAGGGAGGAGCTGCAGTGTTGCGTTACTAGGAAGAGGGGACTATCGCCTCAGGAGCTGGAAGAGGGTTTTGAACCACTTTGTTGTATTCTAAGAGACCCCCCTACACCACCCTCTGCCTATGTTCTCTTGTGCTTTTCAGACCAGGACGTCCTGACGTGGTTCTTGTTTTGCAGCACAATGAAGCGGGGACCCCCTGCAAGACCAGCCCTCAACTCAATTTCAATTGATCCCTCACAGGCTGGTCCTCTGCTGGTCGTGTTTAGCTATATAGATAAAAAAACTCAATCTGCGCACTATTTACCTTCCTTAATTCGGGCGTTCTGCTCTCCCAAAATTCCATCCGATGGGCGGGGGAGCGACTGAATTTTGCGTTGCATTATGGGTAACACTTGCCTTCGCAACTTCCGGTTCTCTCTGCCCGGCGCATTTTCTCTAAATGGTTGAGTGTTTTCGTCATTTTCTGTATGCAAATACATTCCCGTCTCTAACTAGTGGCATATCGCGCAAATCATCCGTCCAATTCACATTCTTCCCTCTTAGCTGAACTTCATTCTCATTGTTACCATCTGTCACTCGCACACACAGCCGTTTTCGTTCACTCTGCTCGCTGTCATCTTCTTCTAAATCTTCATAAACACAATCCGCTCGTTGAACTAGCAACAACAATTCCTCCTTTCGTTTTCCCATACTGCAAATACCCTTTCGCTTCAACCTTTCACGCAATTCAGGCACTGTCAATCGCTTGTTGTTTTCGTGAGCCATATTCGCCATTGTATGAAATCAACCGGAAGTGAACTGGGCAACAAACGGTGTCATTTTTTGATCACAGCGCCGCTCAGTGGATGGAATTTTGGGAGAGCAGAACGCCCGAATTGGATTTTGACAGTGATTCAATAACATGTTTGAGACAATGAAAATGTGTCAAGGCTGCCTACTCAAATGGAAATAGTCCTCTTAATTTAGAACTTAATACAGTAAACTGCTGTTGTCCTGCCATGTCTCTTTGAATTATTGTAGCGCACTATGCCCTTTTCCATTGTCGGTCAGTCTTTTTTATACTTATTGATTGTCCTTGAGATTTCCATTTGAGATTCAACACAAAACTACTAGCTGTCATAAAAGCCATAGAGTTTTGTACTATTTTCATATTTTTATGTGCGTTTTCATTTTATGTCGCTCCACTAAGAAGATTGTAGCTGTGTTTCGACAGCCTAACCAGCATAGATGAGATTTGCTGCACCATTATCGACCCCTCACCTCCAGAATATTACTAATGGTCTACTCACATTGTCAGCCCTGCTTGTTCCTGCCTTTTTAATGGGTTGGGTGACTAATTAATTCATTATCCCCAAAATGCAAATGAGCTGCGCCAGCCTCTGGACCCTTCACTCGCCTCCTTTCTCTTGTGTATATTCTAACAGATGCACCACCTAATGTTTTTCTGCATGAAATTAATGTGTATAGATTTAGACACTTTACCAGTTTAAAACCAGTATTTTTGTCAGTATATGGAATACAAATGTGCATATCCGTCACTTTGTTTAAGATTTCAGCATAATGGTAATGGCACCTCATTCCAGCGCATTGTAAACACTTTAGACTGTGCAAAGTGCATCTTTTATACATAACGCATAAAGGTCCAATTATGATTTAAAGCGGCAGTGTTTTCTGATATTGCTTACAAAGAAGCATTTACAGCGCTTTCCTGGAATATGTTCTTTGTGAGACTATTTTTTCAGCCATTGCCAATTACTCTTCCTTTCCAAAACATGAAACTGTGTAAAGAATGCCATACTCTATATTGTTCTGAGAAAGATCAAGAGATTGTTATACTGACTAATGCACTATAATAGTGTCTCAGTAACCTTGAAATACATGTTACTTTAGGCAACAAAACGACTATGTTATTACTATTAGTTTGTGTGTGTGTATAAAGAAAACTTTGTTGACAAGGTAAAAATCTTAAGAGATTTTTTACAAGTAGACACACAGCTAGGAGTGGAGTATCAGAGAAACTACCCTGTGTGAGTTCTTTTCAAGGCTGTACGCTTTTCTCAAGGAAATGGATGGTTGCAAAATACCACTACTTTTTTCTCTAACTGAAAATGATAGATGTAGTCTACACGACTAAGTTGAAAGACTTGAATAGTGTGTTATCTTTTTAAGATTTGAAAGCCTTCAACGTGTGTCCAGTTTTGTGACTAGTGGTAAAGAGCATTGACTTTTATCTAATGCTTTTATTGACTCAAGTTGTAATGATGGTCACACTACGCTGCCCATTGCCCTTCCTTCCCCACACTTTATACTGTGTAAACGGCTATTCCCCACGGGAGCCTCCATCAATCAGCACACCCAGCGGCCCCCACCACCTCCACCCTTTTGTCTTTGACGATTACTTGGATCCACTCCATTTTTTTTTATTATTAGTCAGACCTCTTTCTTCCATCTTCTGCGCTTTTTACGCATTGGAGGTGTGTGGTCGCTGTGCGTAATTCTCGGTATAGTGTGTGGATAAAGACTAGGTCAGCCATGTGGATGCGTCTGTTGAACAGCTGAAGAGGAGCAGGCTGGAGGGGGAGGAGGGAGAGAGCAGGACGACCGGGGAGGGGGGTTTGAGAGACGGTGGAAGAGCGTGTGTGTACGAGCGGTGTGTGTGCGCATTGGGAAGCGATAGAGGCAGCTGCGTGAACGCGCGTGTGTGTTGGAAAGCTAGGGGGAAAAAAGAGGAAGCCCGTCCGTGTAAACGCTTTCCTTTCACCTTACCACCCCGCGGAACAGGCACTTTTTTTATGCGGACACGAACCTCGACAGCCGCGGCCAAAAGGGAATACGGAACCGCTTCGAGAAGGATTACACGAACTCGCGCTGTGTTACAATACGAGTCTATCAGTAAAGTGAAACCGCCTTTTGTGTTGAAGCAAGTGCTCGTCTCTACTCTGGTCCGTGCAAGCAGCGATTTGAAGAAAAAAAAGCCAAGGGGATAAGATTGTTGCTTGTTTAATGTTTTGACGCGCGCTATTGGATTGGGTTTTATTTGGAAGTTTGCGGGTCAACTCGGGCAAACGGGAATTTTTCAACTTATTTGCAGCGGTCTCTGGGACTCCCAAGAATCACCAGACTGGCGGGTGAGTAAGTTACACACACAAGGAAAAAAAAAGAAGTGTAGGATGGTTGTGGTTAAGGGAGGAAGGGAATGAAAGCGAGAGAAGGGGGTGGAATTTGGAGAATTACTGTTGCGCCTAAAGTGCCAAAAGCTTGCTTGAGTGCGCGTTTGAAAGTTTGTGCTGCTTTGTCGTCCAACTTCGATTTAAGTGCACCGACCCTCAAACAACCCCAGTGACCCTGCTGGCATAGAACTCATAACTACATCAGTATGTGTGGTTTAAGGCTAGGGCGAACTAAATAACTAATATGATCAAAAGTACATCCAGCTATCAATCACAACAAGGAGGTATACTTTGTGACAGCACTGAGAAAAGTTCAAATCCTGAAGAGTCACTGAAGAGTGGTGGGATTCCCCTAAATATTACAAAACTGTTTGATTTCCAGGCAGTGTTTTGTCAAGGATTGATTATTAAATGGCAACAATCTGTTACAAGCTTGTGTTTGTGTATGGTTGGCTGTGAGTTGCAAACTGTTGAAGGACCACCAAATTAACTTGACTCCCCCCTTCAGCACCCCAGAGGCTATGAACTCTGGCCCGAGCACATGCGGATCTCACTGTTGGAAAGAAGAGGAGAAGGGGTGGGGGGTCCTGGGCTGTTGTTGAAAAGAGCAAAGCAGGGGGGGTGAGCTGGCTGGCTGGCTGGTGGGATAGTTTCATAAGGGGAGAGGGGGGCAGATTAGGATTTGAACTGCAGTTATTTGTCTGCAAGGCGGCTTATCTAATGTTTTCCAGTGGACCCCGAGAAGGAGGAGGAGGGCTTGTTTATTTAATATGGTGTAAAATTGGTCATAGTAAATGTGCATGTGATTCTAGTCAGAGGTCCAAATCCTCCAGGCACACACAATAGATTCAAATGGAGGGAAATGCAAGCCACATTAAAACAATAACACAATAATTGCTACTTTTGAAGTGCCCACTCGGCTCCAAGTTAACTAGAGATGACCCGCAGTTAAATGATTCAGCCGTGATTAATCCACTTGAGAGCTGGGGGTACGTGGCACAAGTAACACATGTAATGAATAGGTGTTAGTGCAAACCAATACGTAGCTCATAAAAGATTTTCACACTGTTTTAAAAGTCAGACAGGAATGTAGATATATGACATTGTGTTAAATGGTGTTACAGGAAAAGTGACTGTGGCCCTGTCTGTTTCACCTCAACAAATGAGTGTTTTCTCATAAGGAGCACTTACACCATAAACAATGAATGTAAGATGAGCTTTAAGATATACAGCTGAAACAGTTTCCTGGTTCAGTTTGTGGTTGAAAGCTCAAAGTGTACACCGAAACATTGTCCATAGAACATCTTGTAATAATTATAACGTAGTGACCCTGGAACTACTTGTACAGCAAGAATCCTAATGTCTATTGAAACGTGAATTGCAATCATGTCTGACTAAATATTCTAATCTAAACAAAGGAGACATATTTATTGTGTTTTCTAATTAAATGTTTCATCCAGAACTCTAGCGTTTGCCCATGACTGGAACTGTATTTATTTAGGTGTTACACAAATGGTTGAGTTGAAGCTGTATATTAGATCCTTATTCTTGGTGTGCTTTTGCAACTCTACACCACAGTCTATAGCCAAACTACATTGCACCATGTTCGTCTTTCTTAAGGTCTACTATAATCATAGCACATTTAATGGCTCAGAGTTAGAAAGCACTTTTGAAAATGGCATCTTCCTCACTTCCTCAGAGGTCAAGATATCCATTTAGTTTCACTGCCTGTGGATTGAATGAAAGAGGAAGTGGTAGCGCCTGTTAATGGGCTGCCTTGTTTTGCTCTGTGGCTTTGTATTTGTCTATTAAGCAGTAGCTGACCAGTATCCATCGTAAATGCAGTGGTCCAAGTCTTGATTATGTCTGCACACTTCTGTTCCTTCTATTTGCAGTGTCATGGCAAAGTGTTTGTGGGTGAATGAAATTCCTGGTGTGATCCGATCTGCCTGGGTGTGTTGTTGTTGATTCATGTCAAGCAGAAGAAAAAGCATAGTAGGCGCCTGAGTCACTGCACTTTACAAACACAAGTCTTGAGCATTGACATAGGAAACGGACAGGCAGCTACTCCACATTCAGAGCATGAATACACTCCGAGTGTCACCTCTGCGAAGAGCATCAAGTCAAATACAGATCATAATATTTTGGATAGCGACCACAAGGTTGGGGTCATAGAGTGTGGCGCTAGAGCTAATATATCATTTAATCATCTTTTCTTTGCAAGGATTTAGCATGTCTTTGGCTCTTTTATGATGGTAAATATACCATGTGTATAATATCAGCAGTTTGTTTAGTGTTGGGTTGGTTTTTCATTTAGAGTGAAGGCACACTATCAGAATTGTGAACAAAGTATCTTTCAGTGCGTGACATGAAAAACACTGAATTAGATCTGTAAATGTGTGCAGAGCTGTTGACTTAATCTAGTTGAAAATAGTATATTTAGACACCCTTTTTGTCTCTACTCAATGTCAAAAGAAACAAAACAACTTTGTAATGCATTTTTCCTTATGACGCATACTACGAGTGCTTCTGCCACAACCAATACATTTGTCATATAATGTGTCGCCGCCTCATGACTATTTCCATCTTCACGCTATCGCATTTCTGTGCTGGTACAGAAACTCAGTGTCTGGCTCTCTTTATGCTATAACAGAGTGATGTAATGTCTTAAGAATCAGAGAAAGGCCATGCAGTTGTAATTGATGCAGCACTGGCATGCCCCATCATTCTGTGTGTAATGAGCAAGTCTGCTGGGGGCTGAAGATCTGTTACAATGGGGCGAATGACTCAACTGTATTCCATAGTAATTACAAAAGCACAAGCCATTTGTTATTATAATCACCCAAGCAATGAAAACAGATGCAGATACGGACCAATAAACAGTGGATTTGTGTAAGGATTAGCATTAAGTGGGAGTTTGTTTATTGGAATGGATAGCTAGTGCTATTTTATTAATTTATGTTATCTGTTTCAATTTCTTCCAGTTAAAATGTTCTACATCAGGTGGGCCGCTTGAGGTTCAACAAACAATGAATCGGAGACTAAATTATTGACTATTTCAGCTGTCGATTAGTTGCGATTAATCAACTATGGGAGGTAAATCCCTACTTTGAATCCACTTTAATTTAATAGCATGTATCGCCTCATGTGTCCACTATACTCATTCATAAAACTATGGTAATGACATGTCTCCCTTATGAATATTGTCTTGCATCATTTATCACCTAATTGTCCCTCCCACTTTGACCCCCGCAAAACCCAAAAACGTGAGACTGGCCTCGTCTCAAAGCCTGGCGGAAAATCAATGAGGAGTCATGGCTTCTGTTGCATTGTTGGTAACACGGTCCACCCCCCTTTTAATGCGGTCAGGCAAGACACATCTCATCTGTTCTTGTTGATCCTAGACCAGCCTAATTTAATAATCCTCCCCTGTGTCCCCTATAGATGGCGCTCTACACGTCAATCATTTGTAATAGATTAGTCAACAATTGATGCAAAAATCATCATCGCTAGTGGGTGAAATGGACTGCAGAGGTGCTTTAAGAAGTCCATTTATTGTGCATACGAGTTGGGAGCTTTAATTAAAATGCACCTTAGGAGGAAGCGACGAGTGAGAAATTGTGATAATTGAAAATGTATCTCTTCACCCCCCCTCCTGCTCCTCTGTCTCTGTCCCTTTCCTTAAAACAGCTGAGCCCATCGGCAGGCACTTTCACACATGTTAAGTGGGAAGGGGCATATGGCCTTGTTAATTCAGCCATAAAGTGGAAATGCGTTCCCCATAGATACTCCTCAGTTGGCTGGTCAGATGGAGCTTGTGGCTACTCCACTGCCCTTCCGTCATTACATACCCTTGGTTTCAATATCTTCAAACTCTGTCAGCTCTTAGATGCTGTGCTCATCTTCTCATGTCGCAGGAACATGAATGCACGGTTTCATCCTAATTACACAACAAAGAGGCAATGAATCTCCGACTGGCAGCACATTTTTGATTCATGGATGATTCATGTGATTTGAATGCACAATGAATCTCTATGCGGCTACTCGCGGGCCTTATTCAAATGACTACATCAGTGCAATAGGTTGGAAGCGTAATCTTAGCATAATTAAAGCAGTCTTCCAATGGCTAATGTTAAGATAAACTTGTTCTTTTAATCTTCTTTTAACCATTGAGCAGTGAATATAACCTACCCTTGCATGATCTGTCAATGAAATTGATTTGGGTGGCATTCAAAAAATCATCAATCGTTTTGAAACTGATTGTATGCATTTAATATATCTTCCTGATCCCCCATGGGCCACTGTTCAAACACCCCGAGCTGATTTTGTACTCCAACGCTATACGGCTCTTCATTCAGCTGCAGATTGGATATGAGCTGTGCGGGTCCATTAGCCGTGTGTTTGAGGAGTGGGCTGCCTCGCTCGAGCTTCTTGTATGTACCTTACGCCCTTGCAACGAAAAATCCAACGACAGCCGCAGCGGGAAGGCGGCCATGCTGTGCACTCGTATCCGATTTTAGCAAGTAAACATTTAATGTGCTTAAATGTATCACGGCGTTATTTATGCATAGAATCTGCTGTTAAGTCTGAATTATACATTAGCCCATGAATAATGCATCAGTGCCATTCCTTAATGATTACTTGCCAGGCAGCGAATGGTAATATTTGCTGATAAATTTGCCCATTGATCTTGGTCGTGTTTAACCAGGCTTGCAGAGATGTTTGAGTTTTTATTTCTATTCAAGGATGCGATTAAAACCAGACTAATTGTGTCTTTTTAATAAGATGTCTGGTACAATTGACAGAACCCAGAGGAACATAAATGTAAATGTAACCGTGGTTTTGTAACAGATTAGCTGCTCCCCTTTTGACTCCATCTTTGTAGGTTTTCTTTGTTGCGGCTTGTATGTCGACTTGTTTCTTTTTCAACCTCCACAGATCAATGTCCAATTACAGTT